ATTCTATTCTATTCTATTCTATTCTATTCTATTCTATTCTATTCTATTCTATTCTATTCTATTCCATTCCATTCCATTCCATCCTATCCTATCTCTTTATTGAGGAGGACTGGCCCTTGAGACTTTCTCAACTTTCATGACTTCAAGACAGGCAGACTTCAATTCCCAGAATTCCCCACCCAGCATTTTAGTTGCCAAGATTGGGAAACACTGGACTAGTTCCATGCTAGAAAAAGATGCCCATTCCTTCAGTCTGGAATATTTTAAAGAAATAAACGTTAAAACCTATCCCAGCCTGCCAAAACAAATTAAAAGGAAGCTTGCGAATTTTCACAGATCTCCTGAAAGGAGCGTTACAAGCAACAGCACAAGAACACTTGTCTTTTCTCTTTTCGTCCCCACACTTCCGTCGCGATTTTTAGTACCTATTGGAGCGCTCGTTCCCATTTCTGTCACAAACTTGTTTATAGGTGTTATTTCCTCAAGCAGCGTTGAGCGCTGGCCAAGTCGGGGAAGTTTCAAGTCAAATCCAATCCAATCAAAACTATCCTTCCTTCCTCTTTCTTTTCCCCCCCCCCCCGACCCAATTCCCCTGGTTCCCTCTCGGAAGGCTCCTTCTGATCCCCCCCCCCACTTTTCCTCTCTCTTCCTCTCAAGCCCCTCAACAGACGCTTCTCCTCTCAGGCGCAGAAACGCGCACCCAGGCCAGCTGGCCATTGACCGAGAGCCTCGCTCTTTCGCTCCGGGAAGCCTTTTGACCCCCGGCAACCACGCTCCCACGCCGCCCAGCCCACGCTTCGCCCGGGCACTAGCTGCGCCCGCCCCCCCACAGAACCATCTTTGCTCTCCTTTCTTCCTTTCCTTTCGGGGCTGCAGGAATGGGTGGGGCGCGCTCCCTCTCTCCGGATGGCCCGCCACAGTTTTAATCCCATCCAGGCCGCCAGCCCCGGCCCAACTGTTGATCCTCCGACCCACCTGCCCCTTTTAAACGGGGATCGTCGGCCATCAAATCCACCTGCTCGGATGCCAACGCGCCCCCCCCCCCCCCCCCCCCGTTCCCCCCCCCCCCCCCGCCCACCGCCCCCCCCCCCCTTTTTCCCCCCCGCCAAGGGTTTCGCCGGGGATGGGGCAATCGGGGGGGTGGGGGAGCGAAGGGCACGGTTCGCCCGCGGAGGAGATCGCCAGCGCGCCCGAGGAGCAAAGCCTGGAGCCCCTGGCAAGGTCTGGCACTGCCAGGTTACTTCGCCCTCCCCGCCTCCCCTCGTGTCGGGATCCACCCCTCCTTCCCTTCCCCCTTGAAGGGAAGCTACTCCACCACGTAGCGGCCGCCAAACTTCTCCAGCTGCTCTTCGGAGAGAGGGATGCTGAAGTGCATCTTCATGGCGCTTGCCGCCCGCCCGCCCGCGTGGGGAGCCGATGGAGCCGTCTGGCTTGGCCGAGGAAGTGGAGCAGGGCGGCCGCGGGAGGATTTGTTTGCTCCACGTGACGGAGGGAGGGGCGCGGTTGCCTCCCCTCTCTCACACACATACAGACACGCGCGCGCGCGCTCGCGAGGCGGGCGAGGAGCGTGGCGGAGCGGGGGCAGGTGGAGCTGAGGGGAGCAGGGTTGCCTTGCTTAACGCGCTACCGAGGGAGGAGGCGGGGTGGTGGTGGGGTGAGTAGTGGCCCAGAGTCGCGACAGAGACCCGAGTAAGCTAATGGGTCAGATAAAGAGAAATCGCTTTGCATTCGGTTATTATAGCAATGTTCCAGTATTTGAGAGGCTGTCACAGAGAGGAGCACATGATGGCCAGACAAGGAACAATGGGTGGAAACTGATCAAGGAGAGATTCAACCTAGAAACAAGGAGAAATTTCCTGACAGGGAGAACAATCAACCAATGGAACAGCTTGCCTTCAGAAGTTGTGGGAGCTTCATTACTGGAAGCTTTCAAGAAGAAATCAGACTGCCACCTGTCAGAAATGGTGTAGGGTCTCCTTCTTGGGAGAGGGGGGTTGGACTAGATGACCTACAAGGTCCCTTCCTACTGTTATTCTGTTATTATTTTTAAGGACAGCTGCTTGAACAACCCTCCTGTGCTTATGGTGCCTCCAAGTTCTGCTCTTGCAAAGCCACCTTTTATTCAGTTCATAAAATCTCAGATTTTATCGGAAAGCTTGCCTCGCCACAATAAGTCCAGTGGTGATTTTGTGCCAATGAAAGTCAATGTATAGTAACCTGGATTTGGGTTAAGAGATTGTGTGTCCTTGCAGTATCAAAGGCTCTCTTGAAGGACTCCTAAAGAGAACTTCATAGGTCAAAAGCTGAACTCTGAATTCTAGAGAGAAACTACTGAAAGCCAAAGTAGCATCTGCAACACTGGTTCACAATATGAAAGGAGTATTTCTCGCCTGCCAGCAGACGAGCTGCTGCATTTTCCATCAGTGCCAGCTTCGGGGTATTCTTTAAAGCAGACCCAGGTAAAGCGCATTGCAGGAGCTGATGTGGGAGATAGTGAGGGTAAAGTATGGATGATCATTGCCCTGGCAAATGCTTCGGAAGGGGCTACAACAAGAAAGCCAATTGCACGGGGTGGGGGGGGGGATTTCCCGAACCATACAAATGCCTGTTCAGGAGGAATGCTGAGTTGCAAACCTGCTTCTCTGGGAAAACCGCCTCCCCGTATGGAGGCATGACTGGAGCAGGAGAATTGCCAGATATTTTCTCAATAACCAACACACTTGCAAGATTCAATCCCAGCTTTTTTCTTCCCATTCCAATTCTGTAATAGCCTCCAGATCCTGAGTCAGGACTTTTAACTACAGTCCAGTCCAGAGTGGTGATGTATTATGGAGTGTCATTAATATACTGATGATGTTGCATCCCAAACTGATAAATGGCCTCTAGGGGCTTCGCTGGTCATATTAAATAGTAGAGGTGGTGAACTCTCTGATGTCTCCTGAGCAGCAGTAGTTCACCTGTGAGTACTATCTACTCAGGAAAAAATGAGAACTACTATGTAGAAGGGGGCCTTTGGCTCCCAGTTCTCAAAATGGGGCTGTAAGGATAACATGATTGATGGCAGTGGAGGCCACTGAGAGAACAAACGGTAGCTAGGACTATATCCTGGACCTTCACCTAGGCTGATGTCTGTTTATGCACAATCTACAAGATAATGCAAGAACACCAGAAAAGCAGTCTTTAAATATAATTCAGTGGTCTGGAAGTATAGAGCTAAAAAGAACCAGAATTGCAATGTAAGTGGGTTAATAGCCTTGGAAAAAAATGCTGGTACTTGTTATTGAGCACAACATAAAAAGCAACAGGATGGTTTGCAGCATAGATCATTCACAACGGATATTAGGAGACAAAGGAAAGATGTGTATGACCTCATTCATAATAGACAGTATAATCGGCAATCTACCATAGACCACAATTTATGTCCTTTCACAACAAAGGTTTCCATCTTATTTTGATTTATTTTCTTTCCAATCCAGTGCTGTCTATAGGCAGGTATTCAGGGGGATTTCATGTTGCCTGATGACACTGTCACGAAGAAAAAGACGTGAATGGCATAATAAACCTATCTCCTGATGTTCTTGCAAGAGTTTTATGTATATGTTAAAAACATCAGGGGCAAAATAGTGCCTTTGAGAGGCTTCATATAACAGGTCCCACTTTGTGGCCTAGTTGCTAGCCACACCATCTCCATCTAAGAACCATCCCAACATAAAGAATTGCAAAAAAGGGATCCCAGTTGTGAAACCTGCCAAGCACTCCAGAAAGATCCTTAAACAGTAATACCATCAGCGGCAGAAAAGCTGGGACAGTGTTTTCAAACTTGGCAACTTTAAGATATGAGAATTCCAAATCCTAGAATTCCCCATTGAACATGCTGGCTAGGGAATTCTGGGAGTTGAAGTTCACACAGCTTGAAGTTTGAAAAACGCAGATCTAGGCAAGCCAAAAGATTTGACATGTCTGGTCTATATAATCTAATTATGACAGTATGAAGCTGACCACCTTGTCAATTTTCTTGCCCACCCATGGAAAATTGGAAACTGGCCTAGACTGAAAATTATCCAAGTCTGAGCAATCCAGATAGGCCTTTTTAAGCAATAATCTAATAAGTGCCTACTTTAAACAATGAGGTAAACTAGCAAATGAAGGAGAATTAAAATGCTGCTCGTATTCATGTATCATTAGCTGAATTGCATAGAACAAGCATGGTGGGTTATGAAGGAGAAAAGCAAAATGTCATTTCCTTTTCTTCTATTAAATTGAATGTTTGACTGACATAAAACTGTATTAAAAAATCTTATGTAAGAACTTAATTTCTTATCAAATAAATCCAACTGCATGTATATAATAATGCAAAACTTTCCCAGGTGTCATGTTTTCTTATCCAATATGTTTTAGATGTTTCTCCAACATCTACCTTTCTTTCAGTCTCTTACATTTGCATCTTAAATCAGGGATAGGTATGAGATAGATTATAACATTATGGTTTATCATTGCAGATTGACAATAGCTTGATTTGCTTTGAAAGTTCTGGCTTTTGATATAGGATGAGCCTTAGCTGTCCCCAGGCTCCCTCAGTGATTTACATTGGTTCCTTGAGACCAACAGAGAAACTAGAATGATGGATATATTGCTTGTACAAAAAACATGGGATGTTTGTGTGAATTAACAAATGACTCTCCTTGAAGAACCAGTTATGGCATCTTGTTCTCTACCTGTGATCTATGTATCTCTCATGTATAGGTGAAGAGCTGTAATTATTGGAGGTAGAACAAGCAGATTAACGATGACAGCACTGTCAGTCCAAATCTAGTGTAAACATCAGCTTGCAGGCTGACAAAAGAAACTGACAATCATCAAAGCAAAGAGCAGATGCAGACTGCCCTTCCTTATAAAAGCAACAGCTGTCCTCTCCTTTCTAGCCACCATCATACCAGGAGAAAAGTCAAGCATTTTGTCATCATAATTGTGTCTTTATATGAATTCTAGCTTGATACTTGTGCTTCGCTATGAAACCATGTGGTCGGGCTTAGTTTTTGGAGAGGAAAATAAGAGAAAAAAATTCTGCCTCTGCCTACCAGCACTCATTGGTATTCATCTGGCTAGTGTCCAGTCAACGTGTGAGAGAGTTGAGGGTTGTTTGGAAACGGAAACAGTATTTGCTGTGTGAGCAAGAAGGGGACAGCAAGGAGCCTGGGCATGGCTTAGCTCAACTGTTCTGTACTAAAGCTGCATGGTGCTGTGAAACTAAAACGGAAACTCCTCTGCTTGTGTTTTGCATTTGGAACAGATTTCTTTTCAGGTGGGGAAGGGCAGTAGAACTCCTTAGCATCAGAGCGTGTTAATAATAATATATGAAATACTAATGCTCTGATGATCATTTTGAAAAATCCTTTCTTAGTGAGCACCTAGAAGCCAAGAGGAATATACGTGCCAAATTTCAAGTTTGTAGGTTTTACGGTTCTGGAGATTTTGTGATGATGTGTGAGTAGTATTTCGCTTATGTGTGTGTGTGTGTGTGTGTGTATTGTATACATACACACACATCTTATTAGAAAGTAAAGCACTCTGGAATTGTCTTATAACCACATCCCTCCTTCTAATAAATACCATTTTTCCGAGAATCTTGTCAGAATCATTCCTTGAATTGTTTCCTGTCTCGGATGCGTAAAAGAAAGCCTGACAAATAAGATCAGTCTTATAGTGTCTTATGGAGGTAAGAATCTGTGATCAAGTTGCAGCACAAGCAATCTCAAAAGCGCTCCATCCTAAAATGCCATAGCATAAATTACTGAGGCTTCTACTCATTGAGCCCCAACACTTAAAATGGTAGAAGCATGTCAAAAAGGCCAGTCAAGAAGACAGTAATAATCACCAAGTGTGCTATCAATTGTGGAAGATGACCAAACCAATCTTTAGATGCCCATAACAAATCAGGAAACATTTATTAGAAAAAACAAGCTCTGCCAAGAAAAAGAGCCAAAGCCTGCTATTTTTGTAAGGAGTGTGAAGAATTTTTTGAGAATGATTCAGAAGGGAAAAAAGCAAGACTTTCCTGATTTATGTTAAAAGGAGGGAAATTTTAAGAAGAAACTGGAAGTGAGATAAAAGCACGATTATATTCTGGTGGAACACAATATATGGCGGATCTTCAAAAAGAGCCACTAATTCATCAGAAGTTACTAATCAAAAACATATTTTCAACCAGGAAAGATCAGTTGCAGTTAATGGTTCGAATACTTTAACATTAAAGTAGAAAGAATGCTCTAGGAATAGCCAGAAGTAAGAACAAAAGATAAAGTTTCTAATGTCCTTTGAAGAACCACTTGATAAGCAATTATGAAAAAAAAGCTGTATAATCTTCTGTGGGAAGAAGCTGTA